TTTTAGAGTGAAGTTGATTGGACTTAGGCAACTGGAAAACATCTACCTTAACTGGTTACTCTCTAAGCAGGTTTTGTGTATCTTAAGCTGAAATTTTACCCCCTTTTCCTGGTAATAATTGCACTGTCTGCTTGCTGTTGACTGTTTTTAGTAAAGATTGATGAAAAAGGGAGAAAATAAGGATATTAAACTCTTCGGCTTCCTTAATGTCCTCTGCTGATAGCACACACCCCCCACACACACACCCCATCATCTTTGAGTAGTGGTCCAAAATTCCCTTTGTTTTTCCCTTACAGCCTTACCTGTAAAATTTATTTTATTTTTGCTAAGTTTTTCTAGTTGCATCTTGTGCATTTTGTCTTTACTTACTGTATACACCTTCCCAACCCCCCTCATGAATGGACTATTGTGCTGGGTTCTCAATCAGCTGACCTAGTTTCTACTTTACAGATATATCTCTTATGCCTGCAGTCAATTGAAAGTTTGTGAATTAGCTGACTTCTGCTGAATTTCCTTACTTTCCTCTAAAATGGAATAGGTTGTGCTTGGTTTCTTATTAGCATTTCTTGAAGGAATTGATAGCTTTCCCTAATTTGTTTTTCCCTTAGATTTGCCACTGATGAGCTCTTCCCCACCCATTCTCTGAGTTTATTGACATCTGCCTTCTTGAAATCTAGTGCTGTCAGTCACTCCGTTGAATCAAGTGGCAGAAGTTGACACTATGTTCGCTGCAGTACTGCAGTAGACTTTGAGTCGTGTCTTACACTGCCCTCTACCTACGTGTAGAAGTGTCGCTCAGCTGAGAAAAGTAGTGACAATTACAGTATGTATTAGCCCTTATGATTTAGGCTGCAGTTCAGAATTTACCTTGAAGAATGGGAAGAAAAATGAAACTTCAGAGAAATCTTCTGTAAGGCATTAATAACTGCCCTTATAATAGATCTCATTCAACATGGACAGAGGATCTGTGTTAATGAAACGTTTAAAACACAAAATCCTTGTGATAATAAATAATCCAGACTAAGGTATGCAATGATCCTTGCCCTACTTCATTTACAAAAAATTTAGAACTTTAGGCAGCTGTTTCATGGTGCAATGGGCAAACAATGAAACTGTAACAGGGGAGAGGAAGAAAAAAACAATAAGCTTCACCTTAAACAAAAATGGCTGAGCAGACCACGCTGGACCTATGCCTTGTAAGAACAGTGTCAGAAGCTCTTATTGACATCGAATGCAAACCCAGTAAGACTTTAGGTCCTTCCCTCTAGTATTCTTTAATGTTGGATGAGACCACTGTGGATACCTCATGGACTCTCATAGGTCAACCAGAGATGGTCAAGAAGTCAGGCCAAACCTGGTGCTTATATTAGAAAGCCTTACTGTTATGCCATTGTTTTTACTGACAATATTACAATGCAGGTTTCTTTACTATCACTTCAAGTCGATTTGCATTCCCTAAACAATGAAAATTAATTACCAGTAACCAGTCTCAGCTGTGGTCAACTTGTATGACAGCTGTAAACCAACAAAAATGTGGGCATCACACTGACAACGTGGTGTTGGAAGACAGAGGAGCAAACCTCACCAGAGTAATGGTGATGGTTTAGAGAAATGCAGGTTGTTATGTTACATACTGCAGGGAACGAATGTGCAGTGTCAATACGCTATCTAGTGGCTGTATCGATTATGACATTACTCCTGAATTACTGTTCTTCCACTTGTGAACTGTAGTATTAAAAAATGCTTTAGACAAAATCAGTAAATCTGTAACCACTCCTTAATGAATCTAAGACATTTGGAGGTTACAGGTGATACATAAAAAGAAAATTTAAAAAGGCAGTAAAGTCTGTGTGACTACGCAGACAAAACAGCTGCTGGGAAATTCCAGGCAGTCATTCTTGTCATTAACATTCTGATGCGCACTGGACAAGCAGTGAAGATTTTTCTCCTTCATGTATGGACTATATTCTAGATTGACTAGTTCAGGAATGCTTCAGGAACAAGTTTAAGTATTTTCTTTAGCTGCTAGATTATGCAGTATTTTGTGAGGTAAAAGCAGATAATCTAGATACTTCAAACCAGGTACATAGTATACAGTAATGTAAGGCCAGATGTGTTCTCTAATGGGGAAAACTAATCCCCCTCCCTTGAGATCATGGACTAGGAAGATGTGAAGATCACGTACAGCAGCATTCTCACCATTTTCGGTTTCTGCCAGGGATGCCTGACCTTCAGTAAATCATAAACTCCTTCCACTTTGTTTTTTATCTGTGAAATGGAGACAGTACTGTTCTACAGAAGCTTTATACTTGATGAGTACTTCTGTTGTAAAGGCCGTATTTTCTATACTATAGATATGTTATATATATATATGAAATAGAAAATACTGTATCTATGTATGACCTGTACCAGCATATTTAGGGTACCACGAGCTACAACTTGCACACAGATTTGTTATATTTCAAAAGAAAAAAAGTCTGACTCAGCAACACTCAGCTATTTTGTACTTTTCTACTTAATAACTGAGAAAGCTCCCTAGACAGCTGTTAAAACCATTTATCTTTAAGTACACTTAATTAAGTCTGTGTATTTGTTTTAGGAGGCTGAGTAAAGATGTGATGATGAAGGTTTCAGCTTGGGTAGCATTTCTTGAACTGTTCTTTCTAGGAAAGCAGAATTTTGATCTTTATGTATCGTGACAATTTTGTTCTCAATTTTTGGTAAACAGTTTTTCTATTTAGAGATACTTCTGAACCCTTAAAATCAAGTTTTAAATGTCCACATTACCTGCACTGATCATAATTATTTCTGATATAAAGCTTCTATGGTGCATGCCTTTGCCACAAACATTAGCAGTTAACAAACATGTCTATAAATACAGCATATGTATATAAGTGTGCCCCATGGGTAGTTGCTGGACTAAGTTTACAGGCTACACGTGGTAAGAAAACCATTTCTTGAGCAGCACATAAAAGTCAGTTCCTTGGTCTTGCTCTTTCATCCCAAATAAATCCAAACCTCAAAAGCTTATGCAATAAGCACATAAGAGTTGGCAGATCTACAGGCAACCTGCCATAAGTGCTCAATGCTGAGGGGCTTGACCTCTTCTCCCCTCCTACCTGCATGCATTTGCTATACTTTCTTCTGATTCAACATTCACCCAGATTAATTACTCTCAAAAGAGATATTTTAAAAATACTTTAACTGAAAGAACTTTGAGACAGTTGCTAGGGACAGAGATGGGCTTAAAAGTACATCAGAAAATTAGGTACATTTCTCACTAGGACTGCAGCCTTGTGTGTCTAGCTCCAGAGTGCACGAATCCCAACTTATTTTTATTGCTTGTACAATCAGCACAACCCTGGCCACAAAAGTATCTTATCAAAATAAATAACAAGTACAAGAAAAGTCTGACACTTAGGATTCATTGCACAAACATTTAAACAGAAGATATAATTTTTTACAAATGTATTTCTCTTGTATAAGAATAATTTTGTACAGAAAATAGCTCTTCATACATTTTACAGAAATACACTAACATTTAGATTCTCTACTAATGGATAACAATTTAATACAATTTGAGATTGACAGCCAGGTGAACAGGAGCCAGCAGCGTGCCCAGGTGGCCAAGAAAGCAAATGGCATCCTGGCTTGCGTCAGAAACAGCGTGGCCAACAGGGACAGGGAGGGATCTTACTCCTGTACTCGGCACTGGTGAGGCCGCACCTCGATGCCTGCGTTCAGTTTTGGGCCCCTCACTACAAAAAGGACATTGAATGACTCGAGCGTGTCCAGAGAAGTGCAACGAAGCTGGTGCAGGGTCTGGAGCACAGGTCGTACGGGGAGCGGCTGAGGGAACTGGGGGTGTTTAGTCTGGAGAAGAGGAGGCTGAGGGGAGACCTCATCGCCCTCTACAGCTACCTGAGAGGAGGTTGCAGAAAGCTGGGGATGGGCCTCTTTAACCAAATAGTAAGCAATAGGACAACAGGGGATGGCCTCAAGTTGCACCAGGGAAGGTTTAGACTAGATATTAGGAAGTATTTCTTTACAGAAAGGGTTGTTAAGACATTGGCATGGGCTGCCCAGGGAGTGGTGGAGTCCCCATCCCTGGAGGTGTTTAAGAGTAGGGTTGACTTAGTGCTTAGGGCTATGGTGTAGTTGGGAACTGTCAAGTGTTACGTCAGTGGTTGGACTGGATGATCTTCAAGGTCTTTTCCAACCTAGACGATTCTGTGAGATTTCAGTTACGTTTTAGGGTCACCAAATATCAATAACACAGCAATATATCACTTCCCTAATATCCTTAAACTCCTTGACTTATCAAGTATTGAGTAAGTCAAGACTTAAAACATTCTTAGAACCATGTTAAGTTGCAAACACTCAAGTATCTTGAAACTATGAAAGACCTCCTGAAAGTAATACCATAATTTAAGTGTTAAGGAACATGAATTTAAACCTTAACGAGGCAGCATTACTTGCTGGCTAATACTGTAGAAACCAAATTGAACAGAAGCTTTAATATTAACTGGTTTACTGTTAAACATGACCTTCAAACAGAGATAGCAGAAGCTACTCTAGTAAATGCTATACAGCATTAATACAATGTATAAATGTAATAAAAATACTTTCATTTTCTTAATAAAATACCACAGAAGGTAGAGAAAAAAATCCAGTAAATTAAGATGTAAAAAGTAAAATTGTGAAGGACAAGAAACTGAAAATTATGTGTATATATATTTATATGTAAAATGTAAAGGTATGCTAGGAAATACATTATTTTAAAATTCTCAGTTTTTTTCAAAGACTGTCTGTTAAAGTCTACATGGTATCATGTGGACCTCAAACAGCAACCACATTCAAATGCTTTTCCTCTACAATAGCTGTTTAAAGCACCTGTACTTATACGCACTTTTCCTTTGAAATTAGTGGGAAGGTAAGGACACATATCCTTGAAATACAACTATATGCAGACATCTTTTCTTGCTTTCTAGGCATTTTTAAAAATTTAAATAGAAGATGTAAGCAAACAAGTACTATGTAACCCAATGACAGAAATCTGTAATTTAGATTGTCTATGATCTGTTTAGTATTCATTCATACACAGCTACTTAAGTTTGCCAGCTGTACCCTATGTGAATACTGCTGACGCTTCCAAGCTTTAACATTCAAACATGTAGCTACGTTTATTCAAACATGGCTCTCTCCCCGAGTCAGCCAGTCTCTTAACACATACAACTTTCAAATAAATTCAGCTGGAGCTAGTAAACCTCTCCTTCTCACAGCACACAGGTTGATATGAGACAGTAATGAATCACATTATACTGGTTCACATTTCCATGTAGTTAGAAGGAGAAACAAGCCCCCTGCAAAACCTTATTCCAGTGATTTTGCAAATTCTGCATAGTCAATGTATCCGTCGTTGTTCTTATCATCATCTCTTAAGACATCATCTATTAGACTGATCAGTTCCTCTTCTTTCATTGCCTGGGTATGATCACCACCTTCCTACAAAAACAAAACCACACTGAACAGTTTAGCAGTGTTTCTCATCTAGTGGCACATGTGACAGATTACCAACACCTAATTTTTTGTTATACTATTCATGTTTGGTGCCTGATTTGGCACTAAGTTTTATGTAATCATTTATACCAATATAAGCAACTTTTACCAGGTGCAAGGTATGAAGTCTGAGTTCTCTGGACTTCAAAACAAGCACTCTGTACCCAGTTAATATTCTTAGCCAAAACTTCTAAAACCTGACTAGCACAGTGTACAATTATGGATAACAATCTAACAGATCTAGTCTTATTTTGGATCTTGATGTTGCATAGACACTATAGTTTCTACAGAGTACAGAAATGTCTTCCTGTGGGTCAGAACTTGCAAAATAAAGTAGCGGAGTAGTCAAGAAATCCAGCACTGTAGCTTAAAGTCAGTAAAATTCTTAGTAACAACCCTTGCAAAGAAGAATGCAAAGAGGTGCCTTTGCACAAGAAACTCTAAGTCATTATTCTGTTCTGAGCTAGGGTTTTTTTGCCACAGGTGTGTGCAGGAAGTTAACACTATGCTGAATTGTAACTTTCATAAGGTCAGTGCGAGATGATGTGTTAGTATTGTCTCCTTAATGATTGTATCCTCCTACTTTGCCCTTAAATGTTCCTACCTGGAAAAAGAATTTGTGTTTAGAAAAAAGCAGACTGTAACTGCTTCTTCTAATGTTAATTTTGTGCAAGAGGTCTCTTCCAGTTTGTCTATCCACAGCAGTAACAGTTTGGAGTTGAAAACAGCAGCCTCAGAACCTCAAACAGCATCAAACCTCATAAGCGTTATCCCATTTCAGATCATTTCCCCTTCTCCCTATCCCTGTCTACTAGAGTATCCCCTCTGTCAAATCATTTTCACTCTACAGTCCTTCCTCACTGTAAAGTTTAAATGACAATAGAGACTTCTTGAAAACTGCAATGTGACAAGAAGAGCACTGATAACGCTAGCATATATATAAATCAAGCCAAAACTATAAGGGGGAAAATAATCTTATTTTCAGGCAAAACTGTAACTGCACCAAAGATGTGTTGTAACTGTTCTGTTCTACTGTCAGCTGCTTTTAGAGTCGTAACTGTTTCCAAACACATATGTCATCACAAAATTCCACTTACCTCTTTGTGGACGTGAGATATAGCAGTAGCAAGCTCTAACCCATCTAACAAATTATTGCCATCATAATCATGCATTTTGAAATAATGAAGCTGCAACTCTTGTGGAGACATCTCAGATTCTGGTTTCTCAATAACACCTTCCAAATGTTCCATGATGTGGCTAAGAAAAAAAAACAACAAACAAACCCCACAATATATTAATCAGTTAATATTTAATGCTCTGTCTATATCAAATTTAGTCTTTGATCAGACAGTCAAGTACATTGGAAATATTGTACATCTAAAAGCACCTTTAACAACCAGGTTTTATACTAAGGAGAAGGGGTAACAAAGGTTGGTTGTTACAGGTGCCATAGTGGCCTCTAATACCTAGCTATGTCTATTTCTTCTGGCCTGCTTAGCAGGTTATCAAAACAAGGGAAGCAGTGCTCAAAATCTCTTTTTGGCTGTCTTCCAAAGCACAGGAACTGGAGAAAGATCTTTCCCAGTCAAACACGAAGTACTCTAGTGTGTAACTTATTGCTTATATATTTGCTGCTACCACTGTTTTATCTCTATGAAGAAGCAAATGAGGAAAAAACCTCTTACTCTGCCTGTTCAGAATACAATTTTGTCTAAAGTATGTTGATCTAGGTAAGCAGAATTCCTGTAAAAAATTCTTTATAGTATGAGTAGGGCTAAAGGCTCCAGGGAGACCTTTCTAGGTCTGGTATCTCTATAAAGTTATCAAGCAAGTATGTCTCGTATCTGGCTCTAACCAGTCATACAATATACTGAGAAAAGAGGGTGCCCTAGGCTTAAGTCCAACTCACATAACAAGATTTAAGAGATAACCATGTCATTAAGAAGTTAATATTTTTAGAACATGAAACACATACTCTTTATCTTGTACCAAGTTCTTATCAAGGCGAATATTTGCATGTTGACTCTCTCCTACATGTTCCTCAGCTAGGGCAGAGATGAAGAATGCAGCCAGAAAGCAGAACAGCAAACGTATTCTATATATCCTTTGCGCCATCATGATTACCTACAAAAAAGAAAACATTCCCCCCCCACCCAAGATGAAATATGCAATCTACTTTCAGCAGATTTACAGAGTGCTTAGAAATAATCCCACTAAGGCCTAGAAGAGAAGAAGTTGCTTCATTTGAAGCAGTTAGCACTCGGAAAACCAGAGAGCTCCAATTAAGAATTTCTCTGAGGATCCTTGTTTCAAGGAAGCATGCAGTAATCTTCAGAGAATCACTTTTTTTTTTTTTTTCCACGCAGTGAACGCACACTCTTCAACCACGGGTTGGGTATTCACACAGCTTCCAGCCAACCGTGCCCGCTTCGCGCAGACCTGCCCTGCAGCTACGGGAGCAAAGGTCGCTTGGGGTATCAAAGGGACTGCATCTAGTTAGTACATCTACTCAGACTGCATGCCCTAAATAACATCCAACTTCAAAAACGCAACGGCGGCCGCAGCGCTCGCTTCAAGCGCTCAAGCGCTTCCGCAGGGTGAACGGAGCCGAGCGGTGACCAGAGCAGGCGACCAAAGGAGCCGATTGCTGGGTTCGGCTTCTCCGTTCTCGCCCGCAGACGCAACCCCCGGTTGGCAGCC